ATCTTTGAAGATATTCAAAAAGCTGTCAAAATACAAGGACCTTGAAATAGAAATCTCGAAAATGTGGCATACGGGAACATCAACAATCCCTGTTGTAGTTGGAGCCCTAGGACTGGTTGGAAAAGATTGCAGTAGACTAAATGAAGGGATTCCTGGAAGTCCATGCCTCAAAGAGATACAAAAAATTGTTCTGACAAGTACAGCCCACACTTTACGAAGCGCTTTATCTATGTAATTTAATTCTTTTTTTTTTTTTTTTGTCAGTGGAAAATGTCATTTCTAACCTTATGTCCCTGGGCGGGATCCGGAAAGAAATGTGTAAACGCCAGAAATCTAAGAAAATAATAATAATAATAATAATAATAATAATAATAATAATAATAATAATAATAATGCATTGATGCTACGCCCGGTACGACGCTCTGGGCTTCCGATCTTAATACACATGATTTTTCTTAGTGAATTAAGATGGGCTACAATATATATCTATTCAGTACTACAGATTCCTTGTCACTTTGTTGATCTTAACGATTTGGACCTGTCTCCTAGTTTCTGACACACTGAGCATTTTTGGACTTTAGTTTCAAGTCTCAATGCTTGGAGAGTTTCGGTTATGAGCTCTGGTGCAGAGAGCGTTGAATGGACTAAAGAAAACCAATCAGACTTGGACAGAAAGTCAAACAAGGAAATGGCCATGTACAAGAAGAGTTATGTGGCTGGAAGCGTTTTCATCGAGGTGGATGAACGGTGTGAAGCAGAGAGTAAGCCCTGGCATGAGTACTTACAGAAAAGCCAGGAGTTGACACACTGAATAGAAAGCTAGGAAAAGTATAGAAGGGGGATCTATGATGAAAATGTCTTCTTTTACAAAAATGATCAGTTTAAAATGTCATGAAGCCATTTGTACAGATAACTCTTTTAAAAGTCGGGGATCGATTTTACACTGCATCGATATCATGAACAGTGCCAGAGAACAAGTTATCGATATCGATATCGTGAACAGTATCAGAGAACAAGTTGGCTTCAGACGCGGGAGAGGCAGAATAGTGTAAATTTTCAACATCCGTGTACGATGTGAAAAATTCAACCAGAACAATCAAGTCACTATATGTTATTTAGTACAGTTCTTTGTGATTCTGTAGCGCCAGTCCATAAGGTCCCAAGAAAGATGGTCATCGCTAAGGCGCACCTGCCAGATATATTCGAAGCCATTTTTAACCATTGGTCTGAGAAGAAATTTGCTTCAGAAACGAAAGGCGAACAACGGAGGAAAATTTTTAAGTTTACGTGCACTGTTTGAAAAATGCAGTGAGCACAATCAAGTCAATGTCTGTCATTTGGTACAGTTCTTTGCGATTATGTAGCGCCAGTGCATGAGGTTCTAAGAAAGATAATCCTCGCTAAGGTCTACATATCTGTTTTATTCGAGGCCATTTTTAATCATTACTCTGGGAGGTAATTGTCTTCAGACACGGTAAGTGTAGAACAGAAGATATTTTCAGTTTACGTGAACTGTGTGAAAAAAGCAGTCAGCACAAACAAGTCAGTGTCTGTTATTTGGCACAGTCTATTGAGATTATTTAGCGCCAATGAACTAGTTTCGTAAAAGGGTGGTGATCGATAGGATTTGCATGGTCATAACAAGAATTTTGTTTTTTTCCTGTTTGGCTTGAACAATTTTTGTAGATATATATTCATTATTCATCAAATCATGGCATATTTTAAAACCTAACGTTAAAATTTTATCATTGAAAAGTAGGTTCTGTTCATGATATCAATGCAGTGTCAAGTCGGTTTGCGACATCCTAATAAATTATCTTTAATTGTTTATTATTTTTTTTTTCTTTTTACAAACGTCAAGTAAAAAACTTTATGTCATTAATAAATACATAATACAGTGAAACCCGGATATAAGAGACCCGGATATAAGAGAAACTCGAATATAAGAGAGATTTTTTCTGGTCCCAAATTAGAACCTGTGTTACCTAAACAAAATAGACCAAACCCGGATATAAGAGAAACCCGGATATAAGAGACTTCTTCTCCGGTCCCGACAACTCTCTTATATCCGGGTTACACTGTTCAAATATTGTCCCAAAACAGGAAAGAATGTTATCAGCTTTATCTCGTATCCAAGAATTTAATTTCGCTACCGTATAAGCGTGTGTGTACCAATCAATTTCTACTTAGTGCGAATCCTACCATCACATTTGTATCCAACATTATCAAGGCATTGTAAATATATTTTACCGATCAGTTTCTGCTTTAGTGTGTAACCTACCACCATATTTTATCCCACATTATCAAGATATTGTAAATATATTTTACCGATCAATTTCTTCTTTATTGTGTATCCAACCACCATATTTGTATCTTACATTATTAAGGCATTGTAAATATATTTTACCGATCAGTTTATGGTTTTAGTGTGTAACCTACCACCATATTTTATCCCACATTATCAAGATATTGTAAATATATTTTACCGATCAATTTCTTC